CCAATCGACTTTGAACTTTTCTGTCAGAGCAGAATGTTCGTATACGTTGCTTCTTCGAATGATTTTGAGAATCGGGCCCCTGGACGTAGCATAGGGCCGCGGGGGTGGTCCACAAAGGGTGAGGGGAGTGAAATGTCTATTGTAACGGACATGAGGTACCAAGATGGCAACACTCGATATTGTCACGGAGTGTAATCTATTTCACGCCTTGAAAAGAATAAAGCTTTCTCACTTGGAAAAAAATGCAAAAATAAGTTTTATATATACAGGGTGTCGAATTTTAAATGATTCACGCGAATATCTCCAAAAATATGAAAAATACGGAAAAACGTTTCAAACAAAAGTTGTTTGATTCGAAGGGGGACATAAGGTGGTGCCATTGACCTTGGACAGTCATTTGAAGGTCGCCTTCAATTTTTTTTAATGGAACCCCCTTTTGTTTATTATACTATCTTATTCTACTAATTAATATGAACTTTTGTCTGAAGCATTTTTTTATTTGCCTAATACTTTTTGAGATATTCAAGAGAAAACTTATAACTTTTTCAATGTTTAGCTTATAATATCTCGATAACTGTGTGTCCGAGGGAACAGTAGTACAGGACTTTTTTTACTTGATTTGGTTCAGGAATATGCTGTTGCAATAGTGCTCCAATTATTGAAAATTTTTGTGTATGTAAATTTTGTATATGTTACAATATGTATGTCAGCAAGGTTGTAGACCAATATTAAGGGCACTTTACGCTCCGTCCAGATATTTCCTACGTCCATGGCGGCACGAAATAAAGGAGAAATAAATTTTATTGAACAAGCTTCGAACAACGCTTCCTCTCCTCTCGATGGATGTTTTTTTCCCTCCATCAAAAGAATTAATCTGGATTGTAAATCTTACCAATGAAACTTTTCCATTAAAAGATTTAATATGGATATTACGTTGTACGAACGAATCTTTTCCATTAAGAGATTAATGTGGATTTTACGAAAGCGAATTGCTTCTCTTGAAACTAATTTTCAAACTTTCGCGCGTGTATAATTGAAAAATTAATTTTTGCAGAATCGATCTCGCGGCGTATTAGCTTTTCTGAATACAATTGGAGTTTGGATTAGTCTGTTAAATTAAATGCGCTTGAGTACACGAACGTTGGCCGGTTGTCGCACAATATTCCTCGCTGCAGAATGCCTGTAGAAAAAGTATAGTTAATATTTTATTTAATACTGTGATACACCAGCGCAGAAACATTCTCTTTCTCGTTGCGAAGTTATTATTCAGAGATGGGGGAAAAAAGATTCGAAGTTAAAAAGAAATAACGATGAATCTTCCTGTTACATTCGCGTCAGTAATAACGTGTTTGTGAAGAGCCATTTGCATATTTGTGGAAATGTTGTTTCCTATCGCGGCGTGTGTGTTATGCAATGCACATTATGAATAATTTATTTTGTAATTAATGATTTTAAACATCTCTTCTTTTTTACAATTATATTTTTTTACAATTAGGTCCTTTAGTTTTCTCGTACGTTATTTTTAACGACGGATTTTCTGACACACTGGAAATTTTTCTTAGCGAGAAAGTAAATATAATTATTGCATTAATTATTACAGCTTTCCAATTTTTAACACACATACACACGCATATATACACATTGTACATGTACGTGTATACGTGTTTTTTAATAAAACTAAATGAAAATTCTGTTTTCATCTCAAAAATCCATTTTAATTAGTTGACATTTAAATATAGATGAATGTACATTTCTAAATGCGAAATCGTTTATTCAAGCATCGTTAAGTCCTCATTTGAATACACAAGTTATGAAAACAAAGATATATTTGAAAATCATTAAAACAAGTTTACTTTTTACACAAAGCATCGGCTTATCAATCTTAACTCATGTTGCTAAATATTATCTCCAACTTGAAAGTTGAACTAATTATCTTTATACTATATCTTGCTCGAATATAAAAAAAATCACGAATGATATTAAATACAACTTGAGCGCATATGCTAATCCGAAATACTTGAGATCGAAAATATTTCAGAATAAGTAAGACGAAAATAAAATCTGCTGCGAAAAGTTTCGTTTTACCAAGGAAACGTGATATTTCCAAAGGAATATAAATGCAAGAAATAAAAAATATCAATGTAGTACTACAGAAAAATAATTAATGCTCAAGAGAAAAGATGTACCGTCAATTGAAAATGACGATTTTCCAACAAAGAGCAGATAATCAATTAAAACGAACAACGGCTAACGCACATAGACAGTTGGTGCTGATAAAGATTGGCGCTTTATTACCGTAAACACAGCAGGTCGAAACTGCTTCTCGAGGCTCCAAGTTTCCGGAGCCTTTCGAAACACTTGTCGGATCAAGGATACTCAATCTATTATACTTACACGCCCCGACGAGATTTCTCTCGTACAAATTAGGGCCTGAGCAGAATGGCTGTCTTAAACTCTTAAGACAATGTCTTATGTTTTAAGCCTTTGTCTTGAGGTAACGCACAATAACTGTCTTATGTCTTAAGAGTACAAGACGGCCATTCTGCTCAGGCCCTTATGTATTAATCGTCGCGAGGCTACGTTCGCATTATCGCCGTGACACGTGACGAAATATAATAACGAACTTTATTAGAAGCGCGCCATTCCCCGTGTCACGAATTCACTTGTGTACTTTCCTCCCCCTACATTCTTCCTGTGTTTCCTAGACCACTGGTAGCCAGTTGCGTCCTAGCTCGTACACAGTTCACAAGCAACCACTGTCCTCTGCTCCCGTTAATTTCTGCCAATGTAACGAATCCGATATAACAACATTCTCGCCTCAGTTCTTAATAATTCGACTTCTAGAATTAATTTCTTTGATGCCAGCAAACGTTTTTTTGCCGTTTGGTTTGGCACACGGAGAGAATTTTCTCCCAAAATTCATCCTGGCCGTCGTGTGATCGTGGGACTACATGGCATTTCGAGGAACTTTATGAGAGTTTTCGAAATTCCACCGTACATTTTACTAAATGTATGATCAAAATTGCAAAATACTCTCATAAAGTTCCTCAAAATGCCACGTTATCGCGCGATGACATGGTTTTCAGGGTGTTTTAAGAGAAAATTCTCTCCATGTAAGAATCTTTCGACACTTCCGCTGTAACAGTAGTTGCAACGTTGTTTCGTGTACGATTTTAAGATGTGCCTTCATCGAATCTATTTATCTTGCAGTGACGGAAGTGCAAGATGCCTTCAATCGATACGCGATCGATAAGAGTGCCTGGAGAAATGGATCGGTGTCCGTCGCACGGCCCAGACGACGCGTCGAGACACGCTGGATGCCGGTCCACGCTGGATGTGTTCGGCGCACCGGAATCATCCCCCGTCGCTCTTGCCCCGTGCCGCCGCGACGCGTCCAACACCGCCGATGCCGTCCTGTTCGAGGAGGACACCACGCTGGAGATCGAGCCTGACAGCGCGGCTCGCCTGCCCCGGGACACTTCCTTACCCCAAAGTGCCCGTTCAATCGACCTGTGCTCGTCGCAGGGGGGACTTAGGCGTCGCGTTTCCACGCGAAGGAGCGACGCGACGAGATACTCCCAAGCGACGGACGTGTGCGCGATAATGAGACATTGTTTCAATCAAATATTAGGATTAATCATCACCGACTGGATTACGAACTCTTCGTGGAGGAGATGGCGGACCTGCTTGCCCTTCTTAATTTGCTTGCTTTGCACGACGCAGTGTACAGCCCGCAGTTGCTCGGTTGGACTGAGCACACCGGGATGTAAGTCTCGTTCGAATGTATCCTCGCGCACTCGACGAACGAATGCGATGCGTTTTATTCGCGTATTGGATAGCACGCGATTAAGTAGCTGTTAGAACTAATGGTTCAATTTTCGTTTTGCCATTACGTGTAAGACTTTGAGACGGCGCGTACACTCGATGCACGCGTAAAGCTGAGATAAAAGCCGTTGTCTTCTATCTCTCTATCTCTCTCTTTCGCACACGACCCGCTGTGCGCTAGAATTATAAATAAAACATACGTCTTATCTCTCCTTTTGGAATTCTAGTCGGGCTAAATGTATATATCTATATTTAATACGCGAGCTGCACAGCTCGCATCGAAATCGCCAACCGCCTGTTCTCGCGATATCATCATTTCGCAACGCAGAATTTGTACAACGCATAGAAATTTTGGTTTGATTTTTTCTCCTCACTGCATCCACTTAAAGAGTTCGCTTATGTTAATCCAGAAATGTTCATCATTAAAGAATTGAGTGTCTTTTGTTCCGCCTGAAATTGAGTGGCGTTGTAAACTTTACTTTGTTCTTTGCAGGGACCTGGCCGCAGGGCGATATCGTTATCGAACATGGTAAACCACTTAGGATGTTCTGTCTATTGAATCAGACGATCGTGAATCGTGACTATCCTAACAAAGATGCGGGGGATCTCCGATTCTTTCGTAACGATCAGGAACTGGAGTCGGAATTCGTCACGGTAATTAATGAAACAACGATAGAGCTGTTCATCAAAACTCCACCGGCCTCCGATGACATGTATAACTGCAAATTGAAAATAAACAACAGCGACTACATAGCAGTTTGTCTCAATAAAGTCGTGGTTGGATGTAAGTAATCATTCTCACTCGAATTGTCCTTCGTACATTATATTAGCAGGTCCTCGAATTGATGAGACAACCGAAAAAGAGAGACGCCTCGTGGAACAATAAGTCGAAATAAGACAAAATCTTTTATATAAAGTAAATGGTATCGCGAAATTATCACTTTTTCATCCTTTCAGCTTTTCGATTGTGTCATCAGCTCTGAGACATTTCTATTCTGTTTCTCTATTGAAGAATATAGTTTTGATAATCTGACAAACTCGAGAGTATCGGGAAAGCGTATGCATCTGTTTACAATCATACGTATCTGAAATACGACTATCTACGTACCCAGTAAAAGTACACATTTATCCTTATCGGCACGACCCGACGATGTTTTGCGGAGACAACACAGCGCATTGATTCTCTTTTCATTAGAGTTATGAGTAAATCGTACGACACGCGTGCGTCTTAGAAATCGTTTTACTATCACCAACGATAAAGATAACTAGAAAACAGGCGATGTATGATATTAAGAGTTAGTCAAATCGCTTCCTATCCCGTAGGGATTTGAAGAAGCAATATGTGAATTAAACTCTATATAACAAATTATACATTTACGAAACGTATTTGTACTTATCTAATAGATCTTATAATTTCAACATCATGCACATAAATGTCCGTGCGATCTTAGAAGTGATAGAAATAAAGAATTTGTTCCGATGAGAGTAAACTCGTTGCATTGCCAAGTTAATCGTTTAAAAATACAACTTCGAGGATCCATTATTGACATATTTAGCGAATATCAAAAGCTATTAAAAAAAATTAATTATATATCTTAAAAAAACGCACGTTTCTTTCTTACGTGAAATATTTTATGTAATTTTACGCGTTTTGTTTCACGACAGACCCACCACAAAAGCCTAAACACTTCGACTGCGCCTCGTACAATTGGGAAAGCTTCAACTGCACATGGGAGCCAGAGCACAATTACGTCCATACGACATACGACTTAATGTTCCAATTACCTGGCAGATCGGGAGCAATGTATTATTGTCCGATCACGAAGACGAAGAAGAATTCATGCATGTGGGATATATACAGCGATCCAATATACAGGCAGCCTTATTCATTTTATATTTTCACACTGAACGTGTCTAATGCTTTTGGAAATGTGAACTTTACATATCGTGTCCAACATTATCCTAACGGTATGTAAAACTTATACAGGCCATTATTTGTACTTCCTCGTATGAGAATATCATGCTGTAAATCATGAGAAATGTGCAATATTTGCATACACTTGATGCTCAACTGTAACAATTGTCTTCAGTTATCCCGGCCAAACCGTACAACCTCACCTTAATAAACAAAACGTCAGAGAGCGCGCTTTTATACTGGGAGCTCCCCTTTCCGATGGCGACATTTCCAGTTGGTGTGCATCACAAAATTATGTATCAGCATCAGTGGGATCATGAAAAAGATTGGAAGGTACGATTGTATTGATAAAAACGATATTTTTATCGTGTTAGATAATTTGCCGATATTGCTGTTACCGAAAAATATATCAGTCCCGCAATAAACAATGATAATTTTCATCGAACTTATTCTCCTCTTGTCCACAGATCATCAATATTACACATCCTAAAGCTAGGGAGCACTGGCTTTATAATCTTACCGGATTGGAGTACGCTAATACAGTATATGATGTTCGCATTTATCTAAAAAGCTCGACCGCTATAAGAACGGATCGATGGAGTGATTTCAGTGTTGTTACATTTAGGACGTCAGCAAAATGTGAGTAAATTTATGAAATGGGAAGGGACTCAATTGTCTTTGTGCCTTTATTATTCATTTAATTATAATTGCGTACTGCAAATAGATTGTGATTAACGTATCTGTTTCTACTAAAATATTCTCTCATTTGACTTTAGTGCCTGGCGCTGCACCGCGAACCGACATCGGTAGCTTCGAAATTACTGAAAATCCTGGGAACAGGGACGTATACTTGTACTGGCAGGCGATACCGCAGAATCAGGAGAACGGCGATAATTTCAAGTACCAAATCGTTCGCGTGGAGGAAAATGGCCGCACCGTTGCGCTCACGCCAAGTGAAACGACCAGGACGTACGCCAAGGTGAAGGGAATCAGCCTCAACAGCTATCTATTCGAGATCATCTCGACGAACGAGGTCGGTGCTAACGGCGACCGTGCGAGAATATACGTACCGAATCAGCAAGAAAGTGAGTACATTAAGAAAATTGATGTCGAGACAGAACCGGAAGATTTTAATACATCTAGCAATTAATACGTTTTTATTTTGCTCGCAGTACCGCATGAACTGATAGCGTTCACCAAAATCGCTTTCGAACATGGATTATACGAATTATCCTGGAAGCCGCCGATCGTGGAACATAACATTATGAATTACACGATCTTCTGGTGCGACAACGAGCGCGATCGTCCTTATCAGTGTACCGTATGTATCGATATTTTTCCTTATTATTCAACTAGATTATTCGAAGAGTGCCTTTTTTTTACTCCAAAGTTCGAAGTACATCCAGCACGTCAAACGTTATGTATTTGCAGGGTTATTTGGACTGGGTGCACGTTTCTAAAAATACTACGATCTACAACATAACTGTACCGGATCCGTCCAAGGTATATCAATTTGCAATCTCTGTCAATACCGAGAGAGGTAGCAGCGGCATGATATGGTCGTCGTGCACGGTAATTCATAATAAAGTGCTCGGCAAGATGAAGTCTGTGTGGATTAATCGCATTGGATCGCACTTTATCGAAGTCGGTTGGAAGCTCGATTGCTCAGATCGCATCGGGATAATCGAGGGATTCAACATCTACTACTGTCCCATAATGTCACCGTTGAATGTCAACTGCAACGGCCCCATGCTTAATAGTACAATCAGGGCGGACGCGCACACGATACATGGCGTTGTCGAAAATCTGAAGCCCTACACCACGTATATGCTGAATGTCGCGGTGCTGACGAAGAGCGGCGAGGGTCTGCGTAGCGATCCTCTTTATAATACTACTCTCGAAGCGGCGCCCAGCACCCCTCCGTTAAACGTGAGAATCACTGACGTGTCCAACACGACGATGTTTGTCGCATGGAAAAAGCCGATGGCGATGAACGGCGTGCTGAGATATTACGAGGTCGATTACAACGGTCAAGTCCGGAAAGTGGAGGAGGAGGGAAGTCATATCAAACTGACGAACTTGAAGCCGTACACGAGATACTCTATTAGAGTCTCCGCTTGTACCGTCAAGTGTAGCGAAAAGTCAGCGATAGTAGACGAGCTCACGAGAATTGGTGTTCCCGGTAAAATCAATATTCCTTTGGTGCGCTTCGTGAACTCCAGCCAAGTGATCATCCAGTGGGAGCCACCGCAAGAACCGGCCGGTCCAGTAGAGGCCATGTATTACGAAATAGAGTACGGAAACGGCATAATTCAAAACGTCACTACAACAGGTGAGATTAGTAAGAAAATTTTAAAGAATTTTGGAATTGAACTAAAAACTAGGAGAAATGTTCCTTTCAAATATAATTCGACTTTCTTTAATTATTCTGTCTTTTTCGATTCTTCGTTTCTCCGTTTCTCCGTTTGAAGTGATAGACACAAAGTAGCTGCAAAAGGAGAAATGAAAAGAAATAGTGAAAGAATGGAGAAACTGTAGAGAAGTAAGAAATTTGATTGTAATGCCTTTGTTCATATTACAGACGTGCAATTGCCCATTCCCGATTGCAAGAACGTCGAGCACCGTGAGCAGAAGCACAGGTTTCGGGTCAGGGCTATCAACACCAATCGTAACGGCGAGATTTTGAAAGGATTCTGGTCCGACTTTGGGGAGGGCAATTGTTATAACAACGGTAGACTTATTCTTTTCTTTCATTAGTAACAAGTTTGCTTTCTCATAAAATTGACCACGTAATTTGTCGCACCCACGACTTACATACGCTACATTTCTGACTATAAACGAAAGCGAACATTTATTTAAACGACGAGAATGTTCAATTTTTTTTAATTTTTTTTTAACGTAAGTAAGAAGTAAAGGTTGTGACTATATGATTTTTTTTAGGTGTAATTGCATAACATGTTATGCAATTATATGTTTATACGTGCTTCGCCAGACCAAGTCGGACTCTTCATCTGTTTTCTTTTTTATTTGTTTTAGAGATCGGTTTTCTGCAATGTTCCATACTTACTTAAATTTCGTTTTGAAGCGATAATATTGATATGCACGTTTAACGTAGATATTAAGGGGTAGCGCCTATGTAACCGGCTGAAATAGAGGTTTATTTTTGGGATATTTTTTACTTACTGAATTGTGCTATTAAAAATGAGTTTTATAACTTGATTATACATGTCAAAAAGTAAAAAAAGTTTTTTTTCCATAAGAAAATATTTAAAAATGGTGGGTGGATCTGCAGCAGCGTGAAGGAGACGGTTGATTTGCCAAAGTGGTCCGCGGCTAGCAGCATAAGTGCCGTAATTTTTAATCTAGAACAAAAAACAAATTTTTTCATTTTCTTCAATACCTAGAGAAATACGTAGCCGTTTTTGAAAATATTAATTTTTGATAAAACAGCAGAGTTTAAAAAAAAACCATTTTTTTCACGAAAAATCTAGTAAAATTAGCTGCAACTAAAAAAAGTGTCAACTTATCAAAAGAATGCTACGTATTTCTGTAGAAAATTAATTTTTTTAGGTACTGTTAAAATTTGAAGTCAATCGGTTAACAACGCGTTTAAGGTTTTGAATATTGATATTTTTAGAAACTATCAAAATTTTCTTATTTGTACTGAATTTACCTTTAGTCTGCGATCCCAGAACCATAAAGTTACCCTTCAATAGCAAAATTTTCAGTTTCTTAATCATTTCTGGCGGACTGTAAGCTCGAGCGAGCCTCTTTCGCTGCATCACTGAGTGAGCGGTCGGAAAGCTTGATGCGGTGTTCATCGGCCTCGACACCAAAATTGTAACAGTTTGGGCCCACCATAATGTTCGGAACTTGCATTATTTGTATAATACTGCAAATTCCATCATTAAACTGACACACAGCAATGTGTATAGCAGCACTTGGCGTGGGAGCCTATATATGGGAAAAAATTTTGGATCGCCGTAAAACCACTTGCACTTCATTTTGAAGACATTGAAGTGTATTTTTAAAAAATTTTTTAATTTGATTTTTGAAAATTTTACATAGGTGTTACCCCTTAAACAATCTGATTAGCGAATATATTTTCCATGCAACAGGACTGTCGTACGTCGCCCTGGTTATTATATGGATGGTTGGCGTCTTTAGCATCACAGCATGCATGGCCTGCTTCGTGTACATGTTCAAGAGGTAATGAAACTTTTATTCTTCGGCGATTCTCTATGCAAATATAACAGTAGACAGCTAAATAATTTCTAACTTTCCGCGAGTTACGAGAAGAAAATGTTGATCCAATTGCAACCGTTCTAGCTACATACTTCAACACGCTTTGCATTATTTTTCTTGTAGAATGTGGATAAAATGCCGAGCTATGCGAGATGTCGAAGTGAAACTACCGCCCGGACTCGCTCCAGGCAGCCATGCAGATACGGTGAGATACTTCTTTTCTGCCCCAGTAATCTTTTAACACTTTGCAGTTATTTATCGACGCAAATGTGATAAAACTAGAAAAATACCGTAATAATGTAAACTCTATTTTATTTCGCACAGAGGCTACTTGAGAAGAACAATGAGTTACACATACGGCAGCCGTCCGCCGATTCGAGCGGCTGCTCGAGCGGTCAAGAGTCCGTTACCTCTTCCCTCACAGCTGAATCTCAAGTTTGCAGTGACAGCGGCACTGAGGTGGATGCAGTGCATGCACCGTCCGACAAATTGAAGAGCCAGCCCGTTCGCGAGATGACCCATCTTCGACAGAGGAGCACCACACGGGCACCAGCTTCGCTATTATCAGAGGTCACCCCCTGCTGGGAGTCGTCGAGTTCGTACGTCAAAGTTGGCGACTCCTGCGAGGCAGCCTCCGATGAGACTCTCTCGTTGGCGCGGTCCACGCCCAACTTGACGAACAGCGCGATGTCGAAGAGTTATTCGCCATCGCAACACGCCTGGTCCAGCGCAAACTACATCAGCATGCCGTCCTCCTCTGAGGCGTTACTGAGCAACCCGAGCCTCATTCCGCGAAAGAACACCGCCGGCGGTAACAGCGGCGACTGTAACAGTAGCAAGGACGGTGATGACACCAACGACGTCAGCCACGGCGACAACAACAGCTGCGACAGCAATAACGAGAGCGGCGACGACAGCGGCGATGCTTTGATATCGATCAGATTTGAAGATGAATTCGAGAAGGAGAAACAGAAGCTGACCATTGACGAACTGGACAAGATGCGGTCGATCATCGATATAAACAAGAAGATAGATATATTGGCATCGCACATTAATCCCGACAAAATGACAATGGCGACGCCGTACGTTCAAGCGGGTCTGATAGACGAGATACCCGAATCGCCTTCTTGTATACCCAAGCACATACAAGCGAGGAACAGCAATCTGATGTGCGGCACCTTTAAAATTAAGGATAACCAGAATTTATGCAAGAAGGAGTACATGTCATTTCCACCGGCCTTCCCCACCAATACCACCTCGACCTCGGTGAGTCCGAAGTATATCTTCGCGACGATCATTCCCGAGGGCATGACGATGCCGGCCATGAAAGATCAAGAATCTTCGCCGCAGAAGACGCTCCACGACCCGCACAGCTCCACGACGAGCGACACCGCGTACCATCTTGCGAGTTCCGCGCACGAGACGCAGTCGCAGGAGCAGCAAGACAAAGCGGAGCCGCTCGCGGACGTGACGGAGGACATCGACGAGGACGATAGCAAGGATAACGCGGTGCATCCCGCTGCGTCCTGGCCGACGATGGATGCAACGGCGGTAGATGAGAAGGAGCTGAACTCTAGTTATATCACCCTCGCGAGTTTATCACCACCCTCGGCGGGACCGTCTTACGTGCGACTTGAGAAGATGTCGTCGTCGCTGCCGCCACAGACGGCGACGAGTCAGTCGGACGAGCAGTACGCAGAGGTGACGGTTGTGCCAAGTACAGTTCAGTGAGGTGAGGAGAGAGATGCGTTCTCGTCTCGTTTTTCTCTTCTTTCCCGCGCCGGTGATTATTGCCACTTGCGTAGACGGACGAAGTAAGTGCTACACTGTAAGATTGCGACGTATACGGCAGTGGCGCATGAAAAACTGGTGATGCTATACGTTTGAATTACACTGTAAGATTGCGGTACTCGCGCGAATCGACTGAGCTGCGCAGCGAGCATCTGCAACCTCGGATTGAAGTCCGTTTATTCAAATACGAAGAGATTTAAGAGACTTTTCTTCTGGAAGGAATCGTTTCATATTTGCTTCGAAAATAAGACTGGTCTAAGCAAAAAGGGTCATCGGCTTGGGGATTAAATGAATTGTTGGAAATTCATTTGTTGGTAAAAGAACTCCCTCACGGGGTCTTGCGTTCGAAGGCGCTTCCTTAAATCGCTGAGAAAACATTTTATGCACAAAACATTCGTACGGGAGGACGCGCAAGAAGCGCGTACAATAGAATGCGCCGAGTCTTTAAGGGAATTTCTTAAGGAAGCGTTTTCCAGTTCCTCCGCCCCAGCTGGTGTTTTCTCGTTTGATTATGCTTGTATATCCGACGCGATATGCATGTGCATGCGGCACGATACGTTCGAGCGACGGGACTGTCAGATTGACGTTCTCGTTCACCAAAGTATGTACCAGTACTGCGTTACTTTTTTTTTTATATTATATGCGTGATGTTATCGACGCGATATTACTCCATAAGTTAAAGTAAGTTAATAGACTATGCAAATATATGTACGGACATATATATATATGTATATATATATGGCCAGAGATTGACGGACAGCCTATTGCTGTCGAAAAATAATTAAGTCCACTTCAGACGATCTATAATTCAGAATCAGGTGCAATCTACGAAAACATTTAGGGTCCTGCCTCTCGAGGAATTTTAGGAAATTCGCGCGTTCGCTTCACAATTCAATGAAGAATCGCAATCATTACGAAGTTCCAGGAAAATTATCTCTCGTTCTTTTGCGGAAAAGCAAATATATGCATGAAAGGGCGGTGCATGACATTTTTATTTGAAAAGATAGCTGTTTCTCTTGGAATTTTTAAGAGTATCTCTCAATAGCCGTAATACGATTTAACAATCGTGAGCGCAATTTAAAAAATGCTGTTGAAATGCGAAGTTAAATTATACATATATAATTTGCAATTTTTCCTGAGTTTACAGAGTATAGATAGTATTGGCACACAGATAAAATGTTTCAACTGTTATACCTCGTTACACAATTTTCCTTTCCTGTATTCCTGGATCCGTCAAAATTCGAGATAGTGTTACAGTTTTATGTGTCGCGTAATGCAAAAAGACCACAGTATACGTGTTAAGAAAACGATCGAGATAAAAAGACGTACACAGAGAACGTACAGAGCGCGCCAGATTTCTACTCTAAAAACAATTATAGATCGTCTACAGCTGGTTTTTAGTGAGGCGTTTTTTTTTCACAGCACAATTTTTTCGCTAAATTCTCGTCCAATCGTGAGAAACTCTTTTTGCCATTTTTGCAAGGATCAGCAAACTTTTTTAGGACTATATTTTCTAGATTTCTTTTTAAGTGACACAGAGATATCCTTGTTTAATCCATAGTTAATCGCTTGATTCAGCTAATGCAACGCAATTAATTGCGCAGGTACCTGCGACTTCACACATTTTTCACTATCACTCAATTAGAAATTAATTCAATTAGAGACTACGATGACGCTACTCTGGTGCAATACCAAGTAATAGGGAAGAAAAGACGGAAAAAAATAGAGTATACCACAAATTTACAATCTTCTTTCATTCACGCGGCACAGCGATTAATTAAGGATTAACGTCGTTTCGGAATGACGATTCTCAAACGCTATTGCGTTTACTGTCGTGTCGAAAGCAACAAGTGCATACAGATATTCTTCCGAACGATCTCTCGACGCTATCGACGAAAATTCCGAGCGGCAATGCGCCCGCAAACATTTCCGTTCACCGCAGCGCGACAGGATTGCTCAAAGAAAGGTGAAAGTTGACGTGTCCGAAACTGCTGCATACAGTTAAAACGATGGCAGACAACGACAAGACGCAAGTTGCGTATATTTTCTATTTTTCTAATAGCGAATGTACCGCGAACTCGTCGAAACTACCCTCTTTTCAGCCACAACAGCCGCACAAGTTGAGTTATGCAATACAATTTGTTCATAATTTATTCGATACTTCATTATCGCACACATCGATCGCGAATACAATTGTACGCAGCAAGGTAACGGGCTCTTTTATAATAGCGCCGCGATGCAACGTACGGCGTAACGCACACGAGGACAGGGTCAGGGATAATAAAGTAAGATGAGATAAAAAAAAATCATCATAATGAGTGCAGCATGGGCGTCGTCGAGCAGCTTGCGAGGCAACAAACACCTGTGAAGTCTCGAGGCGGGAAGCCGGCTAAGATTGTATCACGCCTATTTATATTGTCGTTTTTTGAAGGACGAGGTGTGATCGGAGAAAAAGCGCTTCTTTCACCACTTTAACGCCACATTTCACGAACGGGTGACGGATCTGCTCGGCTAGGAAGAAGGAGGCGCCCGTGCGCTACAATTATCCCGGATCGTGCGCTTTAATTACCGTGCAGGTCAGATGACAATTAAAGTACCGTGCGCACAGAATGTAGAGTTAGTTGTGAGTAATGCGCAAATGACAATTGGCCTCGCAGAGCACTCTCACGCTATCGCAACAGCAAGAATATGTGTATGCATAATATGCACATACTTTAAACTAGTCAGACAACACCGCCTTCTTCCTGCAGGCCTTTCTTTTATACTTTGTTGCGAGGTTCGTCGGACACGAGATTAGCGATCGTACAAAATTTAACGATAAACCAAAAAGAAAGCTGACGCGTCGATAAACCGTTAGTTTTTTTTTCCTCGTGGATCTCGAACTCCTAAACAAAAAAGAGCCGATTGAACCTTTTAATTGGTAGATAGGCTACTCCTTTTGACTCATCGGATCTTTTATGATATAACGTTTTATTAATATTTCCGCCGTGCGCAAAAACGTTTGTTCTTAGAAAAGTAAATTACGAAAAAAGAGCTTTATTGATGAAATCGACGGCCTATCGCGATATACAAAGTATGAGTGTAAAGAAGTAATTGCGTAGTTCGAAACGACAAATTTTAATAAGAGATTGGGTACTAAACTTAATTTTAAAGGATTTACAAGGGATGGCGTAATGAGCACCTGATGGCATCGGTCCATACGGAAACCAAGCTTTATATGAAAGCTCTGTCATTAGGCTTCAAGAATCAGTACATTTCATTTGGTCGAAGTGTGATTAAGTTTTCCATTGTAGTTTAATTAAGGGATGATAAATAATTTAGGGATCACTGAAGTTACGTCGATAACAGTGAAGCTACTTAAGAGAAATTGTAATATTTCGTATCGTTGCGAAAAGAAAGGCCTGGATCGTTTTAGAACGCGGTTATTTTGCAAGTTCAAACGAGGAGAGGAGAAACGTTGTCGGCCGCGGCTGCGAGATATGAGAACGACAGAGGACGACGTTTTGTTTGTACTTGTGAAATGATACTTACCGGCTTGCGCGATTGAATGTTCGCGAAGCTCTCGGATCGAAAACGAGCTTATGTACCTACTCGTACATTTATTGTTGTTATAATACGTACCGGCGTAATTTTATCAGATATTAAAGAAGTGCTACTTAGTCTATAATTAAGTCTGCGTAAACATAAGGGGCATGTCATCACGATGCCGTGCAAAACGCATGGCGCGTAGTTCTGTCTGTTTTAGCTGCACTTATAGTTTCCGCGTTCCGAAATGAAATAACTATATATTTATACGTACATTCACACACACACATATATAATGTCTCCTATAAAAAAAGCTGCTGAGTTTTTAAAAGAAGAAAAACAATTTGGTGCTGCTCTGCGCTTTTTCATGGAGTATCCTCTTGAGGGCCATTTCGAGATCAATGTAATTTCTCTTCGAACGGAAACTTTTATACTTTATCACAGACGCGGATGCTACGTTTTAAATCCAGTAATTTTGACTCGCGACACCTTCGGATCTGACAAATACTTTAAGGGATATTCGTGGAAAATTACTGCAAGTCCTTCGGACTACGTTGATTAGAGTCATCTCGTTCTTGGAGTTGCTCGAGATCAACGATGTGAACGTGGTATGGTGATCTCGTGTATATTATAATACACTGTCTGTGAACTTAAAACTGATCAAGGATGTGGTTGGCGCTACGCATAAAATTTAACTGAAATATTTCTGAAAGTGCACTCTTGACGGCACTTTTACGACACAGAAGTTAATACCAGAAAAATAAAATAAATTGAACCGCTCGCATTTTGTATAAACAAATGTGAGGTCAACAAGTCATTGCAGTACAAGCACTCTTTAAGTATTAAAATTTTCCCTCAATTAACTTCTTGTATTAACAAATGTGGGGCCAAAATATCTTACGAGCTTTTAATACTTAAAAATTTTTCATCTGTTAACGAACACCCGACTCCTGTGTGCTCGTAAGATATTTTGGCCCCACATGTGTTAATACAAGAAGTTAATTGAGGGACTCTCGTACACTTATTCTACAATACACATATACACATAACAGACAGATAAGGTTTGGAGTCGTTAAATACTGTGGAAGTGACGAACCACAGGGTCCTGATCTACGTTTGTCACACACGCACACGCAGCACACGCAAAAAAAATAGAAAGAAATTTAAAGCCGTTAAAAATACGGTAAAAATAAGAGACTGTGGGATCTTAATCTGTGCTTATACACACAACACACGCGGAATATCGCGTTCAACATCGTTGACTGTAGACAACGTCAAGAGCGGATTACTCTGATCAACATAGTTTTAAGGATTTGCAATAATCTTTGGCGAGTATCTTCTAAAGTATTTGTCAGATCAAAAAATGTCTTGGATCGGAATTACTAGGCTTAAGTCGAAGGATCCGACTCTGTCGGAAAGCATGCGGGTTCCAATTTAAAAAGATTAAACTGGCCTTTGAGAAGTCATCCCACAAAGGAAGCAGTCGTATAAAAAACTTTCCTCTAAAAAATTTTTGAACTCAGAAAAATTCGTCTCATAAAATTGCAGCTCAGTTTCGTCAATTGTATTTTATACGAAAGTAAGAATCGCGTATACATTAAAATTTGTATATTTACATACGGTGGTTTTGTCGAAAGTATTACCACAAATTTGTTACCGTAAATTAGCGGCGAAATTATATCGGTTTCGAGGAGAGGAATGGAGAGAAGTAAACTGTAGAAAGTGCAATTAAAACGAGTCGACCTATAAGTTTGTACTCGAGATTCGTACGACGACCTGTCATACACGAAATATCTACGTGTTACGTACGTATACGATACGTTTGTGTGTATCTTGAGACACGTGCATAATTCGTGTACTTTAGCAGTATATCGTATTGTTTAGAATTGTCAGACAGTGGGGGATGCCTAAGAAGATTTTTTAACAAAATGACAGTACGTTTTATACAGTAATAAGTCAAGGAAATGCCTGAGCGAATACGCACGTCGATTAAATCTTGCTCACGTCGAGATAATGAAATATTTTGTGCGACAAGAAGCTTTGTACATTAGTTTAACACGGCCGAGCATTACTATCTACTTTGTTAGGTTTCACATATCTATCATTGTACATAAACGCATATAAATGTATACACAAATACGTATAGACATATAAATAGATATATATACACTCTTATACATATACAATATATCTATTATTATCTATTTTTGTTACATGTTTATAAGTGAGAGGAAACGTATTCTGTCGCGGAATACCAAATGTAACATATAGAACGAGATTTTAGCGGATGGACATGGATTTAAGCGTCGCATAAAGACTACCATCGATTTTATATGTAATTTAGAACGTTTATTGTGTCCGTGTCGTTATATTAAGTTGACAAAATTGAGATCATATATATATGAGTTATGTTTAGGTATTTTTTTGTTTTCTTTTTTTTTATATAATCGAATGACCGTATAATTTAAGTTGAATAGTGCGTAGCTCTTAGGACATTTAACATTTACTATTTCACCGGGTGAGACAAAGAAAAAAAAGAGGAGAAGGAACGCTCTTATGTAGATTAGATTAATTAGTCTGTGCAACGATCATGACAAAATTGTAAGACGAAATTGTTGTGACGAGCGCGCTCGTTGAGGCAGTAAATGTTGACCCCCCCCCGTTTGCTTTTCTCTTCTTTTTTTTTTAAATTTGACGATCCACGGAATTTATCCTTGTTTACGCGAGCCTGCAGACGAATGGTGATGAAGTTTTACGCTTGTAACGAAGTTACTTGTAGTGCAATGACTTAACGAAATTTGATTAATTTGTGTATATATATTACAACGATCGTGAGTCTTTTTTAAATATAATTCCGCCTACGTACACACACACACGCATACATTTGCAACGACACACTGTCAATTACGAGACGCAGGGAAGTTACTGCTTACACAACGACGTGATATATATACACGACTTTTTAATTTCTCTTTATCTAGTATTCTGTTTTAGAGTGACATGGTTTGTTATCGAGTTAGTTTATTGAGTCGTTGGCGTGATTTGCCAGCATCATTGTTAAATGTTATCTTCACGTGCATTGTTGCAAGTGCATTAATTGCAAGTGCAATCCGGTGTATCCGTTGAGACGCATACACCGACACACTACTTCACCGATTAATAGCACTGTTGATTATGTACGTCGATTGAATTTTTTTTATTGTCCCGAAGGAAGATTTTGTACAGAACATTGTAAAGTATACTTTTAACGCTTTTTCCTCCTCTCTCGCTCTCTTTCTCTCTCTTTCTCTCTCTCCCTCTCTCTCTCTTCTGGTTTTATTATTTATGCGCGCGCAAATCTCTCGCCTCTACCGCATTTGTATAAATACGCCGTACTGTTATTACTATTGTAATGCCATTGCGTAAATGCCATGCCGTCGAGCCTTGCCATTTCGTCATCCGGAGAGAGAAGAGAGCCCCCCCAAAGCCGATTTGCCTTTTACTTTTCTCAATACTCATACGTGGATCGCGCCGTGGACGCGTGGAAGAAGAACCCTTTTTTTTTTCTGTAACTAACAACGACGTTGCCGATGTACGCCGGAGAGAAAAGCCATTAGTTTGTAATCATTAAGCTGAAATACATATAACATTTATATCGAGCTGCGTGATGTATGTATTTCCTCCCGCATTGCGTACCTTCTTGCGCGTGAATTAAGAAGACGCCGCTGATCTGCGACATGTTTAGATGCGGATTAACTCCGATTTCCACCAACGTCGTTTAACTTGGAGCTTATTGTTCGTTTAATTTACTTGTCTCCTTAGAAAGAGACAAAAGATGATTTAAGCTAAGATCAAGGTTGAACGACGTTGGTGAAAACGGGTATAAGAGCGACGATGCGCGTCTCTCCGAGAAGGAAAGGGTTCGTGGAAATCCCTGCGGTTAACACGTCGCATCCTTTATTTATCATACGGTTCTCACGTACAGAACGCTGGGAATCTCTTTACAGAAAGCTGGGAATCTTAACAGAACGTTGGAATTCGACATCGCAACGCATTCCGCTTTCTTATTCGGTCCGATCTTGATGTTCCCTCGCAAAGAAGCGCCGTTACGTGTCCACCGCGGATGCGATCGCGCGGATGGCAATGCATTCACGTTCGATAAGTGATGCGGATATGCTAAGATTAGCTCGCGTCTGCATATTTGATCCAATCCTCGATTACACTTGCAAATTCATTCGTTCCGCTTATTGATCTAATAACAGTACAAACTGCTCCGCAGGATGTTATCAATCGCCTTGATCTAATTAGTCTAATGATGACCGATTATCTTCACGTGTTACGCGTCATATATATATTATGTATACGCTTTTCTCGCTGAAGTGAATAACGTTAATTCACACTCCACAGTCAATACAAGTTGTACGCCACCTAAATTTTCTGAGACGATGGAGACCAGACAATGTTTCCCGTCCCGGGTCGATTCTCCGTCAAAGCGGAGCACGTCGTTCAATCACGCTCGAATATTCTACTACATATGCACTACACGTGTTTATTTAACGAAGGCTCCGGTCTCGATACAATAGGAACTATTGTCGTTATTGATTCTCCCCGGTCTAAATTTACTCTCGTTCATGCCGTTCGTTTCCGCCGCGTGACTCCTCTCGATTTGTTTCCACGTCTCGTTGCGGAAACTCGGAATGCACCTATCGTTCAGAGAGATCGCACACAATCTTCACGCGAAACATCCATTCGCAAGAATCTCCGTAATGAGCTTGTTTTAACTGTTCTCCTAACAATACCGATTCCGAGACCAAGTCACGCCGATCCGTCCCAAGGATTCAGACTACAACGAATCGAGACAGATCCTTTCTTTCGCAAAGAATATAAAGTTCAATGTACATCTATGCCCTCGATAAATACCAATATTGTCGACGATTTAATGCGGCGAATCCACACAAAGCAGTTTAGCGGCACGCATTCGCTATTGAGAGGGTGAGGATGGTTCCAAGGAAGAACAATCTGCACGATCAATTCTCTAAATGTGATAGGCGTTTATTTTTGTTTATTTATTAATTTTTTTCTTAACGTATGGATACGCAAATCGTTTCTCGTGCTGCGCACGGGGGTAACAATGATAACCAGAGATTAACAGGCTGTAATCCACGCGATAGAACTTATCGCCTTTATTTCGCGTGTCGGTCCTCCCGCCTTAAATAATTATGTACACGAGTTTTGCATTAGTCGCCTGCGAAACGCGGCAGATTCCCGCGTCTTGCGGAAAACTGGCTGGTGTATAAATAAGTCGCGAATGATGCACCGTTCACGATGCCGGCGACCCGTCGCGCGTACAATTTTCGTTACTATAAGGACACAACAATATTATTGACTAATGCACGTCATCTGCACGCGTCAAGAAATTGTCAAACCTGTATACGTAAGCAAATATTTATGCGCGCGCAGGATGTCAAAAGAAAGGGTGCAACGTTATGACAACTGGAAGAATTTCGAAATCATCCAGAAGAAAACTTTAACACTGAACTGACTAAGCAATTGATCGACAGACCAAACGCTCTCGCTCTCTTTCAACGCTCTCGGCCTTTCTTTTACACCACGCGCGCACACACACTCTCAAGTCAATTATACAAATAACATACGTATACAAGTTCCTTTCGTTATTCTATGAAAACGTTTGTATCATTTACACACTATAAGGCTGGTATTACATTTGTTGTACAAATTTTTCAAGCGCGTTGATTGGCTGCAGGATAGAAAAGTTTCAGAGTGTCTAGAAATTTTCTTAGCCAATCAACGCGCTTAAAAAACTTGCCGTACGATAAATGTAATAGTACCCTAATGCTATAACTTACTGCAGGTAGTAACTAATGGACAGATACAATTTGAATTACCGCTTCGGCTTGCAAACTATACATGATTCGTATTTATATCTACAACAGTATTCAACTGACGGTTTTTCGTGTGTGGGTTTACTGGCGTGCACAGTCTGGCAATTTTTTCAGAGAGATTCTCTCCCTTCTGTCCTCTCTCCTCTATGCTTAGCTTGACTAATGCAGGTTCTACACTCGCGCATTCTCGAAAAGGAAACTGTTACAAGAGTTAATTCAGGTGTAAATTCAGTTATGCGAGTCTCAGGACTAGACAAAGGTACACGCGTTAGAGAAAGAAGAAACACGTGTGATATGTTGTGCAAAATAACTTGTGTTTTCTCGAATGTAGTTTGCCCAGCCCTGATAGTGGTTTCTATCGATTATTGGGTGACTGCTAGATCAGTATGTAACACTATTAACGCATTCCTTACGGATGATTAGCGGTAACACAGCGGAATCACGTAGCACGGATCTCTCTACGAAGGTTGAACCATAAATAAAGGTCTCTCATCGATTTTATGGAAGAGACATCGGTGAGGAGGGAAAAAAGAAAGCCAACTTCAGCACAAAGTCAAGGTAAGGGTGGCTGGGTTTTCTCTGTTTTTTTTTTTCAATACTCGTGAAGGTGTGTAATGCTGAGTGAGTGTCGCACGTGCTAGTCAATGCCACATTACTCGTCCAATGGTTTTTTAGTAGCTGAAACAGATCCACAGGTAGGTGGGTAACAGAAGGTAATCAATCACACACGATCGATCAGTCGCCCTCGTGCCAAGATCCGAAGCTTGATACTAACCGATAGTAATTAGGCTTGAACGGACCCGCCTTATTAAGGCCCATATACTTTGCCTGCTCGTCCGTCAATTCCGTAAGATGCGCGTCGAAAGTCGGTAAATGCAGCGACGCGACATATTCATCTGTAAATCGATATCACGACTTGTCATCTTAATGCGATACTTCTGATAAATCAATAGAAACAAAATAGAGATAAAAGATGGAGATAAAAAATCGATTATGATTTTTAATGTCGAGAGCTTATCGTTTCGCTAAATTATCGACTCGAGTATCTTGAAAAGAAAAGAATAAAACTAAAGCCATGATAATTTTAAATGATTGAAGAATTGCTCGGAGACAAAAAATGTTCGTCTTTCGCTGAATGAATACGAAGAAGCTGTTAATTTCAGCACACCTACCCATCTTCTTCGGCAGCAAATATACGTCGCTCTTATACCGCCCGGGTGGCGCGTTAAACAGCTCGATGAGAGCCAACGCTTGCGTGGCGGCGGTGATCGACACCACGAAGGATGGAATACTCGAGCACGACAGGTTCACCAAACGGCCCTCCGCCAGCAAAACGATCCGCTTACCGTCCGGCCAGATAACGTGGTCCACTTGCGACCTGACTTTCTCCCAAGTCAAATCGGGCGTACGTAAACTGTTCTGTTAAGAACAATATTTAAGAGGATTTAACCCTCGGGCTTCCCCCCGAGCGAGTCATATGAAAGCAATCGGGTCGCTACAACTGCCCGCCGCGTAAATCACACGCGCCGCGCGGAGCGGCGGAGTAAAGAAGATAAAGTGGGACATACGACGTCTATCTCCGTGTTGCTATGGCCCATGTTGCACACGACGCATCCGTTCTTCATCTTGTCCATGTGCTCGCGCGTGACCACATTTTTATTGCCCGTCGCTGTAATAACAATGTCTACATTTCGAATGACTTCATTGAGCTTCATCACTCTGAAGCCGTCCATGCTGTAATGCGACAACACATATGTATAGGATTTCTATCTGGCTCGGCGGAGACGAATCTGGCTGCGGGAATGAAACGCGCGTGCGAGCGCGCCTTACCTGGCCTGCAGGGCGCATATGGGGTCGATCTCGGTTATGTACACGATGCAGCCTAGGCCCTTGAGGGCCTGACAGCATCCCTTCCCGACCTCTCCGTAGCCGCATATTACAACTTGCTTCCCCCCGAACATGATGTCGGTGGACCTTTTCAAGCTGCAAACGAGATGGACTCGGTGAGCGCCGGAAACTGACGAGTCGTTCAACATTTCTTCCTCGTGGCGACTCACCTGTCGATGATGCTCTCGCGACAGCTGTAGAGATTATCGAATTTCGTTTTAGTCACGCTGTCATTCACGTTCATCGCGGGAACAGACAGTTTCCCCGCCTTCGACAACTGATATAATCTATGTACACCCGTCACGCTCTCCTCGACAATTCCTGGAAGAATATATTTTTACTATCTCGCTCGCTCATAAATCAGACAGTAGGAGAATTATGGAGAGAATATTTCTGTCGCCGCTACTAAATTATGCATCTTTTTCGCCTCAGGAATCCTCTCTAACGCGTGCGCGCGCGCGCGCACGAGAAAGAGAGAGAGAGAGACAGCTAAAGAAAAATCGTCAACACCGGGCGTCATGGAGCGGAATAAACCTTGGATCATTTTGAACATGGCGTTGTATTTCTTGAGCATCAAGTGAGTGGCGTCACCGCCGTCGTCCAGTATCATATTAGGCTGCCAATTCTCGGCCGCCACGCACTTATCGATGCACCACCAGAAATCCTCCTCGGTCTCGCCGCGCCACGCGAACACCGGGTAGCCGGCGTACGCCAGCGCCGCGGCCACCTCGTTCTGCGTGGAATAAATGTTGCAGGCCGCCCATCGCACCTGCGCGCCCAGCTCCACCAGCGTCTCGATCAGGACGGCGGTCTGCGCGTTGATGTGCGTGCATCCCACAATCTTGGCGTTTTTCAACGGCTATTGCAAAGATATTAGTCAGACCCTGTTTCGCTTTCTCTCGAGCGAGAATTGTTTCTAAAAACTGAACGTTTATTCCCCTTTAAGAGGCGGTTAACGATTCCCCGAGGCGTCGTCGGCGGGTGTACCTTGTCGTCCGCCGCGCGTTTCCGCAGCGCCATGATCCCCGGCATCTCCTGCTCGGCGATCTCGATCTCCCTGCGGCCGAACGCCTGCTGGTTGATGTTACGCACGCAGAAGTCCGTGAAGCCCCGCTCCGTCTTCTGGATCTTCTCGCGCGGCGAGACGTCATCCTCGTCGGACGAGCTCCCTGTATAAGAGGCTAAGGTAGCGCCGGGTGCCGGAAAACGTTGATTATTAGTACCACATCGAGGTGCGGATGCAGGATTATCCTAACGCGGCCGCTAACGCGATTTGCCAAGCCCGTGTTATTAGGACGATCGCTTATTCTAAACAGATAACGTCTTAGGCGCCGGAGACTCGCGACGTGAGAGTAAATTGGTGTTAGAGAAGTATGACAATGTGATATTAACACGGAACAAGAACTGTAAGCTGCGAGACGGCTCTTCTCTCAAAGAGCCAGCAACACAAATCTACCGCTACAGTGCCCTCGCTACAACGTGTATGTATGCGGCGATCGTGGACTCGCTCGTACCGGAACTGTAACTGTCGGTGCTGCTGGCTGACAAGGAGCGGCTGCGGTAGCGGCTGGACTTCTTCAACGCCCCGGACTTGGAGTCCTAGAAATCGAAAGGTGCAGTCAGTTCGTGGCGCGGTCAAGGACGGGCTCTCTCTCTCGCTTTTGCCCTTTTTTTTCTCTCTCTCTTGTTTTTTATTTTGGTCTTTTCTACGGGGGCTGCGAAAATGCACTGAGAGAAATTACAAACTGAAAGGGTGCGCATGAAGCTATATAGTTTGCGTTGTGCCGAGTGTACACAGATCAATACGGACGATTCGTTTGTCCGTTTCATCGACAAATGTTCCAATCTCTCCGCGCGCCGTTGCGCCGCGCGACGAAATTTCATTCTCGCGCCCCCGACGCGGGGCCGCGAAGTCGCGACGGAGCCCACCCACGTCTGAGATAATCTACGTACAATCGTCCCATTAGTCTGTGTCGTCTAATATCGAGAAGCGAGAATGGTAAATCTGATATATCAGCACACACGACATTTACAGGAGCAGAGAAGTTAAGGCAGCCCTGCGTGGGACAACAGCTAGGATCATTCTACGGCATCGAGGGAGGGCAAGGGGGGAGGAATAACGGGATCGGACGGGGGTGGGTTTAAAGGTTTACTTTTTTTTGGTTTATACACATATATACTCTTACTTACTAATTTCGTTCTCGCGCCGTGAAAGGCATTATTTGATGCCTCTAGGCTCTGAAATCACAACAACCACCATTTCATCATTCAAATGCATCAAAGTGTCCGCAATACAGTCCGTAGTTTGGTACAAAGCTCCCAAGGGTTTCAAATACTTGCGCGCGACCACGGAGATTATTTTGCACCGGCGGCGCTCGCGATTCTTCTCCATTTCCGTAAAGTCTCGCGTGGCTTTTCTTATTTTCCGCTTTACATCGAGCGAAACGATCTCGAGCGCGGATCAGCCTGGTCGTCGTACACTGTTAAATGTGTAGTGTTGACGTTAAGCTCGACGAGTAGTCGCCACCGCTCCTACTCGATACGTCGCTAATTCACTTAAACGGGGTGGAAAGAAACCACGTGACCGGTCCTCTAATGAAAAGACAGATTCTAATGTACTCTCTAAAATTTGTGGAGCGAAAACACTGCCATGGAGTGAAATGTTTACTCCATTGGAGTTAATATTCACTCTGTTGGAGGAAATATTCACGCCAACAGGGTGAACATTTCACTCCATGGCAGTATTTTCACTCCACAAATTTTAGAGAGTGTACATTTGTCTCACATATTTTCTATCAAGCGATAATGTTTGAATGAAAACCATAATATCGTTTAGATTAAAGAGAACGTTCCTCTTGTTTCAAACAAATATTTTACTTCTGACAAAGATATTATTATTTCAAATTCAAAGAGTCGCGCTCATTAATTCAAACGTTGATTTCTTTCGACCATTCCAAATTTCTTTGGATACAACAAAACTTATTAAATCCAGGGGAAATGGTTTTCTCTGTATACCCAACCCTGGTTACACTGTGCTTTCACCGCGCGGCAGTTGAGAATAACAGCTCGCCGAGTAGGCGCAGCGACGACTGCCCGCCGAGTCGAACTTAGCACCGTGCATCGAACAGTGCGTGACGGACACCAAAGTGTTCCGCGAATACAGGAGGAGGCCCGGCCGGGACACGCTCGTCTCCACGGGTCTCTCTTGTGCCCCGGCAATTTTGCAGATCGGATCAATCGGAACGCACCCGGGCAAGCCGTGCAACTGAAGGCCGAGTCGCGCGTCCCCCTTCGATTACTTCCACGATTACTTGGCCCGGCACTCGATGTACAATTCACGTGGTGCTAATTGTGCCACGCCTAAATGGTGTCTCTAGGCTTACGAGCGATGCATGAGTGATTGGTACCGAACCTACGGACTACTGTGTGAATAATGCTCTATATGTGTAAAAATAATATATAAGCGTCGTAGATGCCAAGTTCACGGGCACACTATGCGCAACCGCATGCATTCGTTTCTCCAAGAGTCGCCCTCTCCCCGCGCGTCGTCACTTCAATTGGCAAGGGAAAGAAAGGGGGGAAAAAAACCCCGGACGACTCGTTACGCGCGCCCTTAGGTCGTTCTACATTAAGTTGCAAGCAATCGCTGGCACGTCCATATTGTCGCAAGTCGCAAGGAATTTGCGATTTGAACTTCTACGCCGCAGTAAGTGAAGTCACAGCCAATCAAAGAAGAGAATGTTGCGACATCCACGAAGGCTGATGACGGTTCATCGCTCGCAAGTCGCAAGAAACTTGCGATTTGAACTTCTACATGGCCAGTCGTAAAGTCACAGCCAATCAAGGAAGAGAATGTTGCGACATCCACGAAGGTTGATCACGGTTCATCCACATCTTCATACGGAACACTTGCGTCCAAAGAATCATCATCCCAGTCTGTGTGACTCATTTTATTAATATAAAGTTTTCTAAATCAAGAAACACGAGAAACTAACGAGCCATCGACCAAGCCAAACAGACACCGTGACAGTGAAGCTCGATGTTCGGTGGCTGTCGCAAATCGCAGAGACGCAAATTTTGGATCTGGTCAAACCTTGCGACTGGGGCGTCTGCGACTGCATTACGAAGTAGCGCTGCTTGCGACTAATGTAGAACGAACTTTTAACGCAAGTCAACCGTTAAAGGCGCCCGAGTATTTGCGCGGCGAGGAAAGGGGCGCGGGAGCGCCGTTCACGTGCATTCGGATCGAGCGAAGAAGCGCTCGTCAACGGTCCCGATCGTGTCCCTGTTGCGGATTAAGCAACCTCCCGCCGGACCTTTGTTTATCCCCTGTCCCTGGTAAAACAAGCACAGTGCCTCTTTAGTTATTCAACCGGACAGTTCAACGGGATATAAGCGTAAGAAAAAAAAAGAAAGGAAGAAAACGCACAGACGAGGAAGACCCGGAGGGGGAGGGAAGATTCAATCGTAGCCGCGGAGCGGGAGACCGAGTGTCCCGGAGCAGGCGGACAGGCGGCTCTTAACCAACGCCCATTCATCAATGAGCGGCGCGTCAATTAACGCCATGTGTCCAATTACGTATGGAGCCACATGCGGTCACAAGACCCCGAAAGGGTTGGGCGAGACAAAAGGAGCACAGGTGGAGGAGCAGCGGATCAGGAGACCGACGGAGCCAGGCGGAGGTGGGGAGCGGGGAGGAGAAGGTGGGAAGGGGCGAGGGGGAGGGAGAGAGACCCCGAGAGATTGAGCGAAAGAAAAATATTACGGAGGGACCGGCGTAAATACGTGGGCGAGGGCGAGGGTTGACGGGGACCCGTCGGCTTCCGCGGTGCGGACGCCTCGCCGACGGCGAGGCCGCGGCGTTCACGCGGCCCGTCGGGCGAGAACGGCGGCAAATACGACACAGTCGGTGGCACGCAGCTGTCAGATTGGCGCGAACGTCGCACGGGGCCGCCCGGCGCGGCCCGCGGCTGCCGCTCGGACCGAAGCCCGGCTCGATTTACCTTCATGCTGGACGCCGGATCGGTGACCGGGCCATCGGTGACCGTGCCCCTCGGCTCTTTCCCGGACGACGTGCTGTTCACACCGTCCCCGCTGTCGGCCATTTTTCGAATGCACGTCCGCGCGAGGCGTGCGGCGCGGCTCGGCCGCCAGGCGGCGCCTCGCGCGCGCGCGCGCGTCAGGCGCGTAGCCGCGTGGGCGCGGCGCCCGCACGGGGACAGCTTCGCAGGCTGATATTTTTAGTTTCTCGTCGTTCTTTGTACAAAGCCGTCCCACCCCCGTCTTTGTTTTCGTGCGTACTACAATCGCGCGGAAGAATTTTGCAATTTTATAAAGCCAACTTCAAATTTAGTTACAACCACGAATCGAAACTCTCATATCTTTTCTATTAGACTTCCGACCCGAGTGTTTTAAGTATGAAAATGCTCCGCTATGCGGTCCGCAACTTATCCTGGCACTGTTTCGTGCACAGAAGCCAATACAAGGATTTACCAGCGCAAAAACTATACTCGAGTGCGTCGGTAAAACAGGTCGATCGATGTCGAGCCTGGCAACGCTTATAAGGATGTATCTGAGATACAATCATTGACAAAAGTCCCCCAAATTCGAAAAACTGGCATATCTACGCTAAACGTGCAGTAAACCTAGTGATAACTGATATAAATGATAACTAACATAATATATTTATTTTTAAAAAGTTATTTTTCACATTTTTCAGCACTTTATTAGGTTTATTTGCCATTTTACAACTTTTTACAATAAAACTTTTGGTAGTAAAAATGCCCAGGATGCAACCTTAGAACATCAAATTTCGTATTTATTTAACACCATTATTTAGCAGTGTAATACAGAAAAAGTAATTAGAATACATATAGTTAAAAAGGTAAATATGCATTATTTAAACTATAACTATAAATATTATTTGTTATTAATATTAATATTTGACCCTCGATGAAACGGGTTAAACGTGGCAACAGCGCGTTTATGGCTTCAAGGTTGATAGCAATGCACTTTTGACATTGCAAGCTAACTTCTGTTTAGTCCTGCATCGCAATGTCAAAAGCCACAAAAATGTATCGGTGGAAAGGAAAAATAATTAGCGAAAGTATGTATCAAAAGAGACTTGCGCAACAAAGATGTGGACTTTTAAGAAGAAAAGATCAAATTGTGGAAGAAGAAAAAACTGAGCCCACCATGGAGGAAAATGTGAGCTGATTGCGACGTTGCCGCACTTCTATAGTCCAGTAATTGACATATTACAGAAACCACAAAATTATCATGAATAATAATTAATTTCTCCTAAACCGTGTTGTGAAACCTAATCGAATTTTGCACAAAGTTCCAATAATCCACGGTCTATATGTATAAACAAAATTAAAATTTTGGTACTATTTTTTCTATACTTTATTACTCATTTCATTCAAGAAAATTGCGTTTCCCATAAGAACACGTGTAAAATCAGACATAATTGAAATAATAATTACTCTCTAACGATTTAGTAAATCTACTTAAAATTTTTTTCAGTATATTACAGATAACAAAGGAAGTGTTTCCCGAAGTTTCATCAATTTGGTACTATTTTGAAATAGCTCAGATACATCCTTAATTGCGTTCGTCTACAATTGTCTACGAAAGTCTACAATTTACGTAACGCAAACTCCCAGTGTGGGAGAAAACGAGAACGCAGGCAGCGCCGACGTCGATGCGTCATCGTTTCGGCGAATCATTTCTCAGCCGGGCACCAGTCGCGCCCCCGCGTACCGCGGCCAGTGTCCGCGCCTGGCCGGCGGAGACGTACTGCCCAGGCGGAGAACATCGGGTGGCGCCCCCGCCGAGATGCGTGCCCACCCAGCAAGATGGCTCCTCTACGGGGCGACACTCGGTGTTTGACGTGAAGTTATTTACACACCTGGGATCCCGCGGCCGCTCTCACGGGCGAGACGTGTGTGCCAGCCGTGTCGCCGCGTCGATGCGTCGCGGTGCCGCGCGTGCCCTAGTGCCAGAGCGCCGTCCCGCGCTCGCGGTCACGCGTCAAACGCAGCGTAACGTCACGCCGTAACGTCAAACGCCGTGCCGTGCCGTGTCGTGCCGTGCAAGTGCCGTGTCGTGCCGCGGGCCGCGCGGAGCCGAGCCGAGCGGAGCGCAGCGGAGCCGAGGAACCAGGCGGAGAACGAGACGTCGGCGACAACGACGACGTCGACGACGGGGCGACCACGCGCCCGCACGGCCGGGTTCCGGTGACGGCGGACCGAGTCAGCGCCCCCCTCGACGAGACAGCCCCCGCGCGCTTCCCCCTTATTACTCAGGTAGCCCGCTCGCGTTTTCACTCCTCCGTCGTGCTGCACACCTCGCGGGAACGCGGCGACGGCGGCGGCGGCGGCGACGACGACGACGGGTGACGATGACGTCGGCGGCGGTGGCGAGCGTCTCCTACCCCGTCGCGTTTTCCTCCCCCTTGCCGGACGGTGTCGCCGGGGGGAGAGAGAGACGGTCGCCGTGACTTTGCCCGTGACCGTCGTCGTCGTCGTCGTCGCCGCCGTCGTATCGATCTGAAATCTGTCACCGGGAGGTTGGAGCGGCGAGAAACGAAGAGAGAGAGAGAGAGCGCGCGTCGTCGCTCGAGATCTCGACGGGTTCATTCGTTCGCACCCTCCGACGCGAACCTCGCGGCCCCGATCACCCCGTCTTCAGCGGTGGTGCTCGGTCGCGCTCCTGACCTCTTACCCTCCCCTCGCCCCCCGCGCCGCCGTCGAGATCTCGCGCGCGCCTGTGTTTCACGTGGAGCGCGCGCGCGAGGGAGAGAGAAAGAGCGAGCGGCGTAACGCGATTAAAGGGAAAGAGGAGCCGCGGTATCGGGGCCTTCGCCGACTTTCGCACGCTTTCGTCAGGGGGAGGGGGGAAACGTCTTTTTCAGCTTCTCTCTCTCTCTCCCTCTCTCTCTCTCTCTCTTTCCTTCTCTCCTCGAGAGGAGAGCACGCGAGGGGAAGGGAGGGGGAGAGATTGGCCCGTCTCAGAATGCAGAAAGTGTAACGCGGTACAGCTGAGTACGGGAGCGAGTCTATTGGATATCTGTTCGGCCTGATTTGCACTCTCTTGCACCCCGCGCGCGTTCTCTCTCTCTCTCTCGCGCCAGACGCGTCGGGAGTACATACGTTCGCTCCGTTCGCCGGGCCTGCGGCGAGCGTGGGAAAAGTACAGGTAGGACTGAAGCCGGCGCGCGGACGTGCGTGTATCCCGCAACCGCGGAGGAGCCGGAAGTCACCGGTCGCGCGGCGAGGAGTAAATGAGGAGCGAGGACGTCGGCGATCCGAAAGGGAGCGCGGCATCGGGTGTCCTCGCGCGTGGCGGGCCTCCCCCCGGGAAGTGAAAAACGTGCGGGGTCCCGTGGATTGCGGCTGATTTTGTTGCTATCGATTGTACGAGCGAGAGGGGTGAGACGGGAGCGAGTGTCCTGGCTTTATATTCGGCGGACACTTGATTTTCTCGCGCAATTCCTGGCCCTTTGTCGTTGCCTGTTGATGCAATTGGCGTAGAAGCGGGGCTATTGTGACTCGCTCTCTCTCTCTCTCGGCGCGACGCTTGATTCGTATAGCTTGTAGGTACTTTGAGAGACACGCGGCGCAGCGCAGCGCAAGTCGGAGACGGTACGCTAAGAAGGCAATCGCGGATTGCGAAAGACGATTGATAACCGGAGAGATCTCTTATCGGTCGTTTTTCCGCGTGAATATCTGACTACGGGACGGTGGATCAAAGTAGCTGCCGTGAATTGGAAGGACAATCGGCAGGAGTAAGTTTCGAAACTGTTGAAGATTTATAACACGAGGCAGCTGATAAGAGAACTCTCTGAATTTCCGCGTGAATCTGAGACGACGTGCCAGAGTAGCTGCTGTGAATTGCAAACAGTCGACAAGATAAATCTTTTGATTTGTATGTAAACTTGAGTTTTTGTACAAAATTGTTGCAGATTACGCAAAACGGTTGATATGAGAACTCACTGAATTTCTACGTGAATCTGAGTTGACCTGCCGAAGTAGCTGTTATGAATTGTGGAAAACAATCGACAGGGTGAATTTCTAAATTTACGTGTAAATCTAAGATTCAATACTAGACTGTAGATTATGAAAGACAATTGATAAGAGAACTCGCTAAATTTCTACGTAAACCTGAGACGACGTGCCAAAGTAGGTGGCGACTATGAGTTGTGAACAATCGACGGGATAAATTTCTAAATTCACGTGTAAATCTAAGATTC